TCTACAACTACCTGAAAGGAGGTTGGAGCAAGGTTGGGGGTTGGTCTCTTTTTCCAAGAGACACTATGAGAGAAAATGGCCTAACGTTGTGCCAGGGAAGGTTTAGATTGGATATTAGGGCAAATCTTCACTGAAAGGGTTGTCAGGCACTGGAACAGGCTGCCCAGGGAAGTGCTTGAGTCACCAGGTATTTAAAAGACATGTAGATGTGATGTTTATGGACATGGTTTAGTGGCAGACTTGGCAGTGCTAAGTTAACAGTTGGACATTATGATCTTAAAGGTCTTTTCAATCAAAATAGTTGTATAAGTCTATTATTCCATGCCCCTTACATGTTGATGGATAACCAAACCAGTTCTGAATATCTACTTACTGTTTTTTTCATGGACATAATATTTAACAATTTTAACTGAAGGTGGCACTGTTTTACAGTTTTAATATATTAATAACTTCCAGGAACACATTTTAGGGCTCTTTAATGTAAGCTCTATAGCATGAGAGCCCAAATTGAAGAACAATGGACAAGAATAGAGAGGATTTGTTCCCGTTTGCACAGAATTTGAGTAGAGAATATAGAAAAAGAAAAGAAAATTCCAAAATCAATCTTTTATGTTCACCATTGTCCAGACTGATCTAAGGATGTAAAAGAGAGGTAGCAAGTAAAGTTCTGAAAAATCAGAATAAGTCATTCTGGCATAAAATGTGTAAAACTGGAAGAGTGAGGATGTGGAAGAAAGGTAGGGAAAAAGCTTATATGCAGGTGTCTTAAGTGTCACTGCATATTAACTATTGTTTTTTTCTGAGAAAATTAGTCACTATTCCACCAATAAATTTTCCAAAGAATTTTGTATTGTTTCAGACATATTTACCCGGGATGTATTTGCAGAACAACAGACTTTGTTAAATTAATGCCATATATTGCTGCCTCCAAATCACATTTAATTTGATTTCTCATATAGTTAAACAACTACCAAGAGCTCAGGACTAAAATTGTGTGCAATTCTGTATTCACAGATTTATTTCTTTTTCTCAAATAGGAAATGAATAATTTTGTGAATTGCATTTACTTTGGGAATGAATAAAGCAGTGCAGAAGGATAACTACTAGAGATTAAAGTTGAACTTGCTTTTATCAACCTGTGAATAAAGATCAAGAGTAGGATATTTGAGGCATATACTTAATGATAACCAAAAGTCATCATAGCTGACAGAATAGACTTCAACAACAATATGGCTCAGTGAAGCTTGTTGAACATGGACGTCTTGAATCATTTACTCAAGTGGTCTTAGAAAATCTGTCCAGAAAGAAATCAACCAATTTCATGCTTAATAACAAAAACATAAAGGGCTGTTTTCTGTTTCAATTAATCATTCTACATTAGCCAATACCGTAAATCACTGGCAGGCTGGCTAACACTTAATTTCAAAAAAATGGGTTAGCTAGATCCATTTTTAAACTACATTGTTTGATCTTCTATCTTTGAAGAAAAACAATTCACATTTTAGCCCTTATGCTAGCTACAACAATTATTTTCTTGAAACATTATGGTAGAGAATAAAATGACCCTTAATCAGTCTGTATTTTGGATAAATCAGGACTTGCCCCATATCTCTTCTCCAATCCTTATGCATTAGTTTACTGTGAAAGGGATTTATATTTTCTGACGTTAAACACAGTAAAGAAAATAATAAGGAGAGGAAAACAGAGGACAAGAAATAGCTGTTGCTTACCACCTGCCCACCTATAATGGTTTTGTAGAGTTTTGTTGAAAGCCTGGAATAAGTGAGTGAAGACTGAACTAAAGAGGCCATAAGCACAGAGATGCACAAAGAAGTTGATGTGGGCCTGGAAAGGCTAACGTGGCAAGTGGGTGTTCCAAGCATTACCCATAGAAATAAGTCTTAGAACTGGGTTATTTTACATCATTCAATCTTTCTTTTTTTTTTTTTTTTTTTTTTTTTTCCATCTTGTAATCTGGGGATACTGACACACACACTTTGGCTCCAAGGATCCCTTAGAATTTTCCTTTCCCAAAACCCATTTCCCTAAACCCAAGGAAGGGCACAGAGGAGTCAGTACTGAGATTGTACTGACTGCATGCCTTTCATGCACATCTTGCAAAAGGGTGAAGAAGGAACCACACAGGACCTTCCCACCAGTGCAGACCACTGGCCAGTGCTGTCCAGTAAAGGGAGGTGAGAGTGGGAATTCAGGGAGGAAAAACTGCACTGTATTTCTCAGAATTTCTGACCTCTTCTTGTCAAAAGAACAAGTAATCTGAGCACAAGTTACAGGCAGGCAGAAACAGTTAAAGAAAAAAAAAAAAATCTGTTTAAAGGTCTGTGAGAAGTGCTTGAGAAAGCACACTGACTGGTAAACAGTGGAATGTTTGCCTAGGATTAAAACGTTTAGAGTAATTTGAAAACAATGTAACCAAATGCTTTCATATGTTACTAGCATATTATTCAATGTTTACATGAAATGGGGAAAGAAAATGGGATTTACAGTGTTATTTAATGAACTTATCTGCAAACAATGGATAGTAAAGACTTCCATAATATCAGCTATCTGGTTTAAACCCGTTCTAACAATTTTGTTGCCAAAAATGGTTGTTTGCATATTTATATATATATTTAAATATAAAGTTGACTCATCTTCTCTATAATTTTGCTATAAATGTCTTAGAAAACTAAATATTTTTCTGAGACAAAGCTGATAGAAGATTATTTTTTAGATTACTAGGATCCTGACATGTCTAATCCTATGGCTAACTTCAGCTTAACTTTCAGTTCTTTTAAAAAAAACAATTCTTGGATAGTTCTACTTCCACATTCTTGTCTGCTTTAAAGAAGAAATGCAACCTCTTACTGAGCAGGAGTCTATGAGGTAGAAAGCTAGATCAGCTCTCTAAAAAACCTGAGTTTCTCTGTGTGTAATAACTTCAGTTGCCAATGGAATACAGATATAAACCAGCATGAATGTCATGCATACTGAAAATTTATGATATAATCTATCTTCATCTTAAACAGCACATAGTAGTGATAATTTGAGGAACCATTTTTTAATGGTCTATAGTATGAGGAATACAAGACACTGCATCCCTAGCAATTATGAGAAATCTACAGGTGGGGTCTTACACAATGTTGACTAGAGCAGTTCTGTAGGTACATCAAGATACTTCCAGTACTGAAGTCTGTACAGAAATGCAAAATAGTATCTTCCTGTTCAGCACTACATGTTTACTCAGTAATTATGCAAAGTAAAAAATAAAAGAGATTTTAGTATCATTTCCAATTCACCAAAACTCGTAAGTGGTAGAGAGAAAAAAGATTTCAGCACTGTTTCCAGTTTTCCACTACTATTATCAGTGATAAAGACCTCTTTTTTGACTCAAGACTTTTAAACAAAGCTGTGAATTAATTTCCACTGGCAGACTCCCCAGTGCTACTACTGTCTTCTAGCAATGCCTGTATTTGCTTCTGTCAACCCCTTTTCAAGGCAATAGATGAGTGCAGATGTAATTAAAATCATCATTGAAAAACATCAGACTGCAAAAGTGACCATGAAACAAGAGCTACACAGTGAGCTGTCAATGTCTTAAGGATGAGCTCATAACCAGTGCTTCATCCTTGCTATTGGTCTGCATTTTACTTGATGACTACTATCTGAATTTTTATAAAGCATATATTCTTCTTCGTGAAAGCTGAGCCGTCCTCATGAAAAGGAGCTTCAGTCTTAGGAGCTATTCTTGCACTCCTCTGCTTCACCTTGCTTTTGAAACAGCTCAGTGAATGAGTGGCTTTAACTTTTTGTATGACAGGACAACGCCCTGGTGCCAAAGGATCAGCTACTATAATGAGGCCTAGGGAGGTAAGGGGATGCAGAAGGGGGAAGAACAGGTCAGAAGGTATGAAAAAGAAGAGTGACGGGAGTAAGGCAGGGCAAGGATGGAAGGGTGTAATGGAGGAGGATAGAGGTAGGAGCAGGGGAAGATTGAGGTGGAATGAAAAAGGCAAATTGAGGAGAGTGAATCAGGGGTGCTCTCCACTTCTTCCTTGTCTCTGCTTGTAGCAAGTAATACTGTGTCTGCAATCACTGCTGTGCCCTGTGTGAGCAGTTACACGGCAAGCGGGTAGGGTAAAGAGAGCTTCGCTTTTTATAACTCTTTGAAAGAAAATGCCAAAATAAAAGTTGTCAAAGTATAGTACAGTTCTTAAAGCCCTTCTGTCATTCCACAAATTCTAGGCCTTCCATTTCTGTTATAGAAGTATTTGATGAAACATTAACCAAAGTTCAATTAAAGCATCAGAAAATAAAATAAAGTTTTCATAGCTCAACAAAAATGCTCCTCTCACCAATTCATTTCTCCTCCATCAGGAAGAGAAAACAAGAGGGGATTAATCTCATTTACAGAGTGAAAACGAAAAGGGAATGCACTTTTCGTCAGGGGGCAGGGGGAAGGTCTCCAGCTGGTTCTCATCTATATGCCATGATTTGTCATTTAGTTTACACTATTAAACTCAAAAATTCCGCTTTAATCTTAACTATTACAGTATGCCTTAGAGTAGATTCTATCATGTAGCATCCTTGATACAGTTTCAGATTCTGGCAAAACATCATCCCTCAAACTGGTCATGGCCATATGGGTAGTAAATGTATCCAACATTTTTTCATTGGCGCCTACATTATTACGTCTTGTCACCAATGGTTTCTTGGGTTTTCAAGTAAATTGTTGCATATACTGTGGTTTGGAGCTGCTGAGATGAAGGCCTACATTTATCTGTATACAGCCAAATCCTTTTTTGGATTTTTTTTTTCCTCCTAATGAACTAACATCTGTTTAAATTAAAAAAAAAAAAAAAAGTCATGTTTCCAGAAAGCTGTACAAAAATGAGAGAAAACAAAACAACAGAACATTGCCAAGAAGATATTGTTGCCAAGCTGTACATGATAAAAAGCAGCCTTAGAAAATGATGGGTAGATGGAAGTGGGCATCATACCTGATCTGTCTTCATTTTGTGAATCACACCTTCTACATAATTCTGGGATGGTCTTGAGAGAAGTTACAGAATACTGTAAAAAAAAAAAAAAAAAAGAAAGAAGAAAAAAAAGAAAAACTTTATATGAAGTAATTAATTTAAAAAGATAAAAAGTAAGACTTTGGAGAGGCCCTAATGTAACTGGGACAGCCTAAATCTACTACCCAAGGATACTTTTGTGATCTGATGGTATTCTCAGGTTGTGTGAGAAAAGCAGATGGCATCTGCTTGTGTGCCAGCTTGGAGGACACCAAACCGACTTTCACAGCTCCAGCAAAGCATTCCCCCACCTCAAATTTCTCCTTCCTGCAGATCACCATTATTCAGGTCACAAGTAGATTTTATGTATCCATCTTCTCCAAAATACATCAAAGGTGCAAATACATCCAGGCTTCACAGTAAATGTAAAGGGTTTCCCACTACCCACTTCAGCATTTTTATGGTGATTATACTGCAAGATATATCATGCTTAAAAATTAGAATTCAAGCTTTCCAAACCAGTATGTAAAAGTAATGTAGAATATTTGCACCCTAGAGATCAGGTTCCAGAGAGGGATGCCTGTACATACACATACCAGACAACAGGTTCATTTCTCTAACTACGGTTTCATTAAAGCAAACTTACATTATTACCTTGATGTGACAGGATATGCCTGATATTAATCAATATGCTATTCTCTAAATTCAGCATTAAAAAGGAAAAAAAAAAACCTCAGGGATAGCATATTTATTTTACTAAACAGATTTTTTTTTCTTATAAGCTTGTGGAACACCCCTGGTAAGACACATGATCCAGTGTTATAAAACTGCACATTCTACACATAGAGAAAACAAGTTACTTAAAAGCAAGTCTTCCTTAATCAAATGTTTAAATGTTACAGGAATCTAAAATTAAACAAATGAAAATCATTATGTCTGTGAAAGTTCAATGGCTTTGCTCATATAAAAAAATGTATTAAAAACAGTATTTTGGAAACAAAAACAGATAAAAGCAGTTAGGATTAGCACAACTGAATTTTTTTAAAGAATATATGAACACCATATGTTTTCAAAGAAACATATTTTTAGCTGGTGTGCTCTTGATCAATGAAGCAAAACAACTACATATAAAACCACATGAGCTTTCCACACAAAAAAGAAATGTTCATACATTGTCCTGTTTTTAGCTGACAGTTCGTCATTTGAAGTCTCATGTGCTTCTAATGCACAGCTGGCAATCTCGTTTAAAATAATCTAAAGTCAACCTCATGTGACAAATTGCAGAAGTAATTTACTTCCCTGGTGCAAGTTTCAGATTGTTGCTCAACTGATTGTAGTTACTTTATGAATTCTCAAAAACCTCCCATGCCTTACTTTTTCCTTTGTTGACCTCATTCAGGGATGCAAACTACAAAAAGAATCTCATATATAGTTCCAGGATTAACACTGAATTTATTAATTAAAATGTGTAGCAGCACTCCGTAGAACTACCCAGTGACTCTTACCCCCATTAAACAAAGGGTTGTCCATAAGGCTGTGACTGCTCTAGGATATGACAGCCTGAAGCAACAAAGAGCAGAAGAACAGTGACAGGAAGAAAGATGCTCCTAAATACCAATTAATACAAGATAAACACACACATGTACAAGCATCATGTGCTACGCTTCACTTCAGTTTTGTTTAGTAAGGATTGAGTTGTTAAGCTATATATCTTGCCATTTCAGCTTAACGACTCAGAAGACAATGCTGAACTGGTCTAGTAAGACTCATAAAAGAATCCAAAGAACATGTCTCCAAGGAATACGGTAGCTTCATAAGATCAGCTGGTGCAGTTTAAACTATTACACATTTTGTAATTCAATTAGATTGAGGCCTTTTGTATTCCATTGCTATGTGTTTTCTCAGGCAACCTCAAAAGCAGGAAGCCATTTTTCTTTTTGTCTTTTTTCTTATTCTTTCCTGGAAAAACAGATTTTCTTTGTTTCAACACTGCACTAAAACATATTAAGTTACCACCTCCCACCACCAAAAATCTTATAAATTTGATTACGCATCTCAATCATACTGGCTTAATGTCATTAACAGATTTGTTCCCACTCACCCCTGTTCTCAGAAAGACTTCTGCACATTTACATTTCAGCCATCTGTGTTTTGTGGTCAAGATGCAGAGGACTGGCTTTTGGTCCAGGAAGCAGCTAAAATTACTCTTTAAAGTGGACTTTTCCCAACTATAAGCACAGTCCATTGCCAGCTCTTTTCTCTAGAACTGCTTTACTCATATTTTAGCTCTGATAATTAGAATTGTTTGATAGCTTTTCTTCAAGCAAAGAGTTGAAGCTTGCTAGAAAAGGGGGCAGGTAGAGGCTGAGATTGCAGATCTTCCCTGGAATAGAATGTTAGACTTAATGCTTATTCAGTGGCATTTAAAATTAATTATTTCACATTTTTCATTCAATAATTTTAAATTGTTTGAACATACAAAATTAAATACCATATCTCACATTTCACTATTAGAGTAATCAAGACAACCAGAGTTTACGGCTATTCCCAGAGGCATAAGTGACAATGTGAGAGCTAAGCACAACAGATTTTGATTGCTGTTTGAAGTTTGGGCTCTTTTTGTTCATTTAAGGCATATTTATGTTCAGCCTGAAATACTGAATTTCAGTAAATGCTTTAAGAGCTGTGTAAGATGGAAGAACAGTATCAACATCATTCAAGAGACAAGAACCAGTAACAGGTATTGCATGAAAATACAAGATATTCCCAGTTTTCTTTAATGGACACTATTAATTCAGGGGAAAATGGAACCTCCTCTATCATACAAAACACTTATTTATGAGGTAAAACTGCACTACAGAATCTGAATTAATGCAAATACTAACCATTTCAATTTCACATGGTTCTCAAACTTTAATGCCATGAATTTTAAACCTAACACATGAGAAAAAACCTTCAGTCTCTAGTAAGGCTGTTATGTGCTGTGCCACTTGTCTGCCACTTGCAGACTCAATTGTGTCTGAGAAGTACTGGAAAGAATAAATTCTGGATCACCAGTAGTAGCATAGAAATGCATATACAAAATAGTAAAAAATAAGTAAAATAAACCCCAAAAGTTGTTTTTTACATTGTGTTGTGGAAAATACCTTTAGTGTCTCCTGAAATAGAGTCAAAAGGCAAAGTGTGGCTCTCAGACCATGTCATCAGAACCTTGATCTCCCCAAAAACACTAAGGACCATGTCCTTCTCCAACTGGAGTCATATTCACCTCCACTGGATCAAGACACCAGTGACTGAGTCCTGCTTGTAAATGCCCAGCTCCTAGTTTTCATTTAGATAGAGAAAACAGACATATGAACGCCTTTGTGTTCTTGTGTTATTACTGCAAGCCATTTAACAGTCTCCTTTCAGTTTATTTGATATAGTGGAAAATAAAATGTTTCATTAATATTCAAATCACATTAAATTAATACCTTTATATTTCATTTGCTTAGTTATTTATACCTGTGCACCACTACCCTTTCCACTAAACATTTATTTGTGTGTAGCAAGCTACAATGAGAACAAGTAAAGCAATGATACCTGGCCTGAGGTCACAGAAAGGTTGTTCTCAATAGGCACGTTCTCATAGTCAATTTAAGCAGCTTCAGAATTTCTTACCTAGTGGCTGTGATCAGCATCTCTGGAGTACCAGCTAGGTTATTTGTGCTATGTATCATTTATAGCATCACATATAGACACTTCATACACTGATGTTCCCTTTAAATTTAAAGGAGCCCTGTACAGACACTAACATTGTTAAAGGTACAAAATGCCTCTCTGAACCTCTCAGTTTGTATAAATATTTCAGTAGCTATCTGCATTTTGTTTCATTCTGAAAAGCAAAAAAGCTACAAAAAAACCCCAAACCACAAAAAAAGCAAATGAAAAACAAAAACACACAAAAACCCAACCAACCAACCAAAAAAAAACACAAAAAGAAACAGAAAAAAAGGCTATGTGTCACCTCTATACCTGTCTGAGCCCAAGGGGTGCCCCAGCTCCTTCTGTGGCCAAGGAAAGGTGACAGCAGGCTCAGGAGGTTTCCTGTGACAAGTAAATGGGAGGCCAGGAGATCAGCCATGCCTCTGACCATACAATCTGCCTTGCCAGGAGAGGAGTGACTGAAGATTTTTTAAGCTGTTTCAAAATACCTGACAATTCAACAGCTGTTTAGTTATGTTTGAATTCACTTACTGCATTCACATTTCACAGACTTTCAAATTAGGTCCAGTCCTGCACCAGAACCACTGTACCAGGCTTTAATTCATACAGTGTTAGTTAAATGATCATAGCAACAATCTACACACTTAACCTCAAATAGTTTACAAATATCTAGTATCAGGAGCTCTACTCATTTGGTACTATTACTGTAAACCAAGAAATAAAATAATTTCAATTTATATAATTTGCCAGTTCAATATAAATCCTGCATTTTAATCAAGGGATTAGAAAACCTTCAGGTAACCATAACAATAGCAGACAATTTACAAGCAGGAATAAATTTATAACCAAAATCAAGAGTATTAATGGGAAAAAATGCAAAGCTTAAAACATATTTTTAATTTTACAGAGCATATATAATTTAATGTAACTTAAAGTCTGCAATTTTTTTCCTTCTTTAATGTGAAGAAATACATGAAAATATTCAGCTTGGTTGCTTAACATAATTGTAGACAGAATAAATTTACTTAATGTAAACAAGAGTCCCAGAAACCTATTCTGCTGTCTGAACTACACTTAAATATACTATATTTCATGGATCTGGAATACTACCATATTTGCAAAATAAGCAACATATTTGCATTCCAGGGCCCTTAGGGAACTGGTAGAGCTAGTTGCTAAGACACTCTCAATCATATTTGAAAAGCCATGGTAGTCAGGTCAAGTCTACAGTGACTGGAGAAAAGGGAATATCAGATCCATTTTTAACAAGAGTAAAAAGGAAGACCCAGGGAAACACCAACAGTTGGCCTCACCTCAGTGCCTAGTAGGACCATGGAATAGATCCTCCCAGAAGTTGTGGTGAAACATTTGGATGACAGAGACATGATTAGAGAGACCTTCAACATATAAAGGAAGCTTGTAAGAAAAACAGAAAGACTGTTTATCAGGAATTGTAATGACAGGACAAGGGGCAGTTGAAAGAGGGTCAGTTTAGACTTAATATAAAGAAATTTTTTTTCAATAAGAGTGGTGAGACACAACAGGTTGTCCAGAGAAGTGATGGATGCCTATCTTTGACAACTGTATTTGGTTTATGTTGCAATATAGCAGAGAGGACTGCAGAAGTGGCTGTGAGAAGACACCAGGGGATGCTCCCATGTGGGACATAGCCAGCTCCAGCTGACTCCAAGAAGGACCTGCTTCTGACCAAAACTGAGCCAGTCAATGATGTTGGTAGTGCCTCTGAGAGAACATACTTAAGAAAGGGTAAAAAACACTGTGCAGCAGCATTTGTAAGAGAGGAGTAGGAAAATGTGAGAGAAACAACTGTGCAGGAACCAAGGTTCGTGAAGAAGGAGGGAAAGGAGAGGCTTTGGAGTACAGACTCCCCTGTAGCCCTTGGAGAAGATCATGGTGGAGCAGATAGGCATCCTGCAGCCCCATGGATGACCTTACATTGGAGCAGGGAGATGTGTCCTGAAGGAACCTGCAGCTTATGGAGAGCCCATGCTGGGGTAGGCTTCTGGAAGGAGCTGTGGCCTGTGGAGAGGAGCAGTTTTTCTGGCAGGACCTGTGACCTACAGGAAACACATGATGAAGAAGCCTGTTCTAGATTGCAGCCCGCAGGAAGGACCCACTCTGAAGGAGTTTGTGAAGCACTATATTCTAAAAAGAAGGACCCAACAGTGGAGCAGGAAAAGACTGCGAGGAGGAAGGAATGACAGAGATTAAGAACTATCAACTAAACACAACCTCCATTTCCCTGATGTCCCTGAGCTGACAGAGGTGGGAAGGAGGTAGAGAGGTCAGTAATGAAATTTAGCCTGGGAAGGAGGGAGGGACAGGTTATTAGATTTGTTCTTATTCTTCATTATCTTATGCGGTTTGACTGGCAATAAATTAAACTAATATCTTCAAGTCTAGCCTGTTTTGCTCATGATGGTAACTGATGAGTGATCTCCCTATCCTTATCTTGAACCACGAGTTTTTTGTCATATTTTTTTTTCCATCTTGTTGATGGATGGCCATGACAGAGTGGCTTGGTGGGCACCTGGTGGTTAGCTAAGGTCAAGCCACCATAACAGGGCTTTGAGCAATCTGTCTAGTTAACAGTGTCCCTGCCCATGGTAGGAGGGTTGGAACTAGATGACCTTTGAACGTCCCTTCCAATCATAACCTTTCTATATTATTTTGGAGAAACAAGCAATTTAATTTTCTTGTGAACAAATGCAATGTAAACAACAACAACAACAAAAACAAACCTCAAGCCACTTACACTTCTATTTGGTCTTTAAAACAAATTCCTGTTTATTTTCTATGTCTACTACATTTTGGTCATTTTGGCAGAAATTTCCTAAAAGGGTCTGGAATTTCACTGGTTTTCTAAGTCAGGTACGTTTATAAGTGCATAATTTTATCAGCCTTCTTGCTGCCATTATTTTTAGTCAGTACTTTTCTGCACTGTATTAGAACCAGAGGGCTAACAGGAACAATATAAATTGCTAACACTTGATCTTGCATAGCTGCTCTTTCCAGGGCAGCTAATGATAAATTGTGAAGGTCAGGTACCTATAAACTGTATATAGTGAGATATGAGTAGAGCATCAGAATCGCCATGAATTCTCCTGTTAATTTGGATTCTGGCAACACATCCTTTGTTCTCTTACCTGCTAAAGTAGGGAGTAAAACTGCTACCTCTATAATTTGTGCTTTTATTTTTATTTTTTTCAAGGCTCAGCATCCAATGAAAGAACAGTCTATTAAAACAGACAGCCTGAGCTGTTCAGCAGAAAAGTGAGTAACCTAACCCACCACTAAACAGGCACGGCCACAATGGGAGAGACATGGAAAGGTTACATCTATTATGTTTTACAGTTTTACAAAACTGAGTATAGAAACAGATACCAGGACATGATCTAGCATATAACAGTAATAAAAAGAACGTTGCCCAGAATAAGGTATTAATTCAAGATTAACTCATTTTCTTGCAATATTTTGGGTATTTGCCATATTTGTCTTTAATAAAAATTCAGCTTTACAATAGGTAAAAATAAAATCCTCTCCAAAAGGAATCTGTCTGCAAATAAAGCATCTGGAATGTTTTAAAATGCATCAGAAGTCCCAGTGCTAAAGGGAAAACCAGAGCCTTTGTTAAAAAATCAACCAACCAACCAAAAAAAAAAAAAGCACTATAAAATTACAAAAAAAGTGGAAGGAAATGCTGCACACTTTCTTGATCTGAAAATTGAATTATCAGTTTTCTTATAGGGGATTTAATTTACATATTCAGGTTTGGTTTTGATCAGACATTCAACATATTAGCAACCCTATTACACAAAAAGCAGAAACAGTGGAAGGAGAAGTATGAGTAATAGAATATCCTGTACCATTGCTTCCTGTAAGAACCACTAACAATGAAGATGAACAGTACTTTTGGTGGCAATTACAACTGCAGTTATTTTAGTTGTGATGTTAAGGACCAGTGCTGTCTATGAGTCCCCAGAACTCTTTCTGCCTCTTTCTGTACCCTACCATCTCACAGGTAGATACACCACACTCACTGATAAAATTTTGCTGTATTTGGAGATGGCCACCGGTCGAAAAGGCAGAGTAACTATTTACATGAAAAAGGATCAATTCAGAGGTGAGGGAGGTTTTTCACAACTGAAATACATTAGATTAAAAAAAGGATAAACACTTCAGTGTCTAAGGCTATCATTAGAGATCATATAACAGAGGAGATAACTCAAAAATAAAACTCATTAATTAATTTGATTTGCAAGTAATTTTTCTGCCTGAAGGAGAGGAATGTAGTTTTCCTTACAAGCTTATTAGAGTTTTCTCTTATAAAGCACCTTATTTTGTTGTATATCCATCCTATTTAAACATTCCTATATCTGACATCAAAAGGAGTGGAGCTTCTAACAATATTGTTTGTTATATCAGAATTGAGATATTCAAGATCTAAACTTGAGCAAATAAAGTAAGATTTGTACTTACCGATATATCATCACTAAAATCTATTTCATCCAAATCAAGGTATTCAGGGGCTTCCATTATTCTTCTATGGACATTTTGGGTGAGTCAGCACAGTAGTAAAGACCTAATTAAGAGAATAGAAATGGATTGTCTACTAAAGAGTCAAAACCACATAAAAATGGTTTAACAGTTGCTAGATTACTGAAATTTAACTTGTAAAGTGTTTGATGACTTAATCCTAAAAGCTAATTATGATTTTTCATCTCTCCTCCACATATCATGAAGAAGCCATTTTAATTTTTAGGGAGAATAGCTAAGTGGTACTTGTACTCAAAGCAAAAAATAACTGATTCAGCATCTCTCAGTCCCTCCAGAAGTTCTATATAGGTGTAAAGATACAAGCTGTTGAGCATCCTCGTGACCCTGCAACCATACCTGCACGACCTTCTCCTGGATGCTACTACTTTACTGGCCTGAACACAACAACTTCTGCTACTATAGTTTTCCTCTGCTCAAGAAGGCAGAAAAAAATGAGAAGTATGCTGTGCACAGACAAAAAAATCCTATCACACCTTATCTCCACTTCTCCCTGCAAGCAGACTAAGACACAATCCTGTCACTTCCTTACAGGCAGATGACTTACCTCTCTTCAGTCTGCAACTACACTTCCTCCACAACAGAAACCAAGGCAAAACCAGAATTGCATCAATGTGCACTGATTCTTAGGGGCTTTAACCATTTCCTCAGAGCAAGGGATAAAGAGAGAAAAGCAAGAAACTTGGCTGGAAAATTCAACATGTAATTCTGAAAATATGGAAGCTTAAACAATTAGAAGATCAAAGACAATAAAACCCTCATTACTTTCTTAATCCTAACTAGAATGAAGGTGTGCATTAGCACTACAGACACATACAACAAAAGTGAAAGTGGAAAAGTAAGCTGTTTTAAAGAAAGCTGGCAAACAAAAGCAGTAGTGCATTTTCAAATAATGTGAGGTACTACGTAAGTGTTAAGTATGGAAGCAAATTAAAATCCTTCTAGTAGTTGTACATAACAAAAGGAAATGCCTGAAGGAAAAATAATACAAGCCCAGTTTATCAACGTGACAACTTCCAAGAAATATGTTTACGAATAATGAAGTCAGCTGTGTAGGTCTAAATAAAATCACTGTGTGAAACATTCGTATGCAGTTAAGAATGTCCAAGGATATGTGGTTTGAAGAAAATTCTTTTCCACAGGTGTTACAGTTACTGGTCAAAAAACCCTCGGTCATTAATCTGCTTCACAACAACCCACCCAGCACAAAGCTGATCTCAAGGCACATGTTCTTGAAAAGATACAAGAACAACCTCCAAAAGGGAAATCTACAGTTTTAAGCTGAAAGAGCTAGAAAAGCAAATTTTATTTCACATCAAGTTATTGAAAGTCAAAAACTATTCAGCATACTTTTATCCTTAAATTAAAAAGAAAAAAACATGTGGTTGTTGGTTTTTTTTAGCCTATTAGGATATTTCTACTTATTGCAACATGAGAAGGAAGGAACTCCCGTAAAAACATGTGAAAACAACATCAGCAGCCTATTATTGGCTTTCATAGTGGCTGTTAGACTCAACTGAAATAGTGGGAATGGAGATGACTACAAAAAGGTAAGAACAGTACCAAGCTCTGAATCCAACTTGGTATGAGGAGGCAAAAGTGGCTATAATGTGAAAATAAACAGAAGTTCTTCTTGAACAATTCCTGAATGTTGTTTATTCTAAGAGGCAACTACTAAAGTAATATAAAATCCTTGCAATGAAAGGAGTTTGCTGTTGTGAAAAGTTGTGACACATTCAAGTCTACAGATTCCTTTTCACACTAGAGGTCAGCCTCACCTCTGTGCTTGGGAAGATCACGGAACAGATTCTCCTAGAAGCTCTGACAAGGCATATGGAGGACAGGTATGTGATTTGAGATAACCAGCATGGCTTCACTAAGGGCAAGTCCTGCCTGATCAACCTAGTGACCTTGAACAATGGAGTGACTGCATCAGTGGACAAGGGAAGACCTGTGGATGTCATCTATCTGGACTTCTGCAAGGCCTTTGACACACTCCCCCACAGCATCCTTCTCTCTAAATTGGAGAGATATGGTTTAATGGGTAGACTATTCAGTGGATAAGGAATTGGCTGGATAGTCACATCCAGAGGGTAACGGTCAATGGTCAATGTCCAAATGGAGAGGGGTGATAAGTACTGTCCCTCAGGGGTCTGTACTTGGACCAGTGCTGCTTAGTATCTACATCAACGATATTGACAGTGGCACTGAGAGTACCCTCAGCAAGTCTGCTGATGACACAAAGCTGGGTGGTACAGATGATGTGCCAGAGGGATGAGATACTACCCAGAAGGACTTGGACAAGCTAGAGAAGTGGGCCCATGTGAACCTCATGAGGTTCAACAAGACCAAGTGCAGGGTTCTGCACCTGGGTAGGGGCAATCCTCATTATCAATACAGGCTGGGGGATGATGTGATAGAGAGCAGTCCTGCAGAAAGAGAGCTGGGGATACTGGTGGACAAAGAGTTGGACACAAGCAAACAATATGCACTTGCAGTTCAAAGAGCCAATCACGTCCTGGATTGCATCGAAAGAAGTGTGGCCAGAAGGTCAAGAGATGTGATTCTGCCCCTCTACTCCACTCTGGTGAGACCACACCTAGAATACTGTGTCCATTTCTGGAGCCCTCAACACAAGAGAGACATAAACCTGTTGGAATGAGTCCAGAGAAGGCCCACAAAAATTACCAGAGGACTGGAGTACCTCTCCTATGAAGACATGATGAGAGAGTTGGTTGTTAAGCCTGGAGAGAAGCAAGCTCCAGGGAGATCTTAATAGCAGCCCCTGGAGAAAACCACGGTGAGGCAGGTTGTCCCCCTGCAGCCCATGGAGGGTCATAGTGGAACAGATATCCCCATGCAGCCTGTGGAGAATGCCATGCCAGGGGGTGTGACCCAGTGGGAAGGCCACACTGCAACAGGCTCCTAGCAGGACATGTGACATAATGGAGAAAAGCCCACATTGGAACAAGTTTGCTGGACCCTATGGGGGACCCATGCTGGAGCAGTCTGTTCCTGAAGGACTGACTGCACCCCATAGGAAGGACTCACACTAGAGCAGTTTATGAAGAACTGTAGCCCATGGGAAAGACTTGTGTTGGAGGAGTTTGTGGAGGACTGATTCCCATGGGAGGGACCTCATGCTGGAGCAGAGGAATAGTGTCAGGAGGAATGAGCAAGGAATGAGGAAGTTTAAAGGTTAAAGACCTGTATGGACTGTATCACGTACACATATTAAAAACAAACCAAAGCTCCACAAAGTTTCAGTTTTTCACTAGAATTAAATGGATTAACAACCTGCCCACACAATATGTTTAAAAATTAATGGTGGCACCCAGTAATAGGATAAGAAACAACGGGTATAAGCTAGTACACAGGAAGTTCCACCTCAACATGAGGAAAAACTTCTTACTGTGAGGGTGACAGAGCACTGGAACAGGCTGCCCAGAGAGGTTTAGGAGTCTCCTTCTCTGGAGGCTTTTATGACCTGTCTGGATGCATTTCTGTGTGACCTACCCTAGATTCTGTTGTGGTCCTGCTCTGGCAGGGGGTTGGACTCAATGATATCTAGAGGTCCCTTCTAACCCCTAAGATCCTATTATTCTATGACTCTATGAAATGACAAAATAAATCTATCCTAAACATGCCAAATAATAAACCAGAATCAGTAAGTGATTAAGGATTTTATTTTGCATTTACTATTGATTTATTCAGGTAAAACAATAATAATAATAATAATAATAATAATAATAATAATAATAATAATAATAATAATCCATAGCTTTAATAAAAGAAATACTCTTTCTGCTTACTATGTATCTCAAGATTTTAGAACAATAAGATCTCAACCTTTCAAACTTATGAGAGAATCATAGAACGGTTTGGCTTGGAAGGGACCTTAAAGACCATGTAGTTCTAACCCGCCACCATGGGCAAGGACACCTCCCAGTAGATCAGGTTGCTCAAAGCCCCATCCAACCTGCCCTTGAACACTTCCAGGGATTGGGCTTCTACAGCTTTCCTGGGCATCCTGTGCCAGTGTCTCACCATCCTCAAACTAATTTCTTCCTAATGTTTAACTTATATGTAGCCTTTTCCAGTTTAAAGTAATCCCCCCTTGTCCTATCACTACAATCCCCTTTAAAAAGTCCCTCCCTAGCTTTACTGTGGGCCCCCTCCAGGTACTGGAAAGGCTACTATAATGCCTCCCTGGAGCCTTCTCTTCTCCAGGTTGAACAACCCCAACTCTCTCAGCCTGCCTTCATAGGAGAGGTGCTCCAGCCTTCTGATCCCCTTCGTGGTCTCCTCTGATCTTGCTCCAGGACCTTCATGTTCTTCTTATGTTAGGCATTCCAGAACTGGACACAGTACACAAGGTGGGGTCTCAGCAGAGCAGAGAAGGGAAGAATCACCTCCCTTGACTTGCTGGCCACACTTCCTTTGATGCAGCCCAGGGCACGGTTGGCTTTCTGGGCTGCAAGGGCACAAGGCAAGTTCATGTTGAGCTTCTCATCAACAAAAACTCCCAAGTCCTTCTACTTAGGGCTGTTCTCAATCCCACCTCTCAAGGTGCTTCTGGATGGCATCTGTTCCCTCCAGCATGTTGACCACACCACACAGAGCAGTGTAATCAACAAACTTATTGAGGGTGCACTCAATCCCACCATCCATGTTGCTGACAAAGACATTAACCAGTACCAGTCCCAGTACTGACCCTTAAGGAATGTCAGTTGTCACTGGTCTACACTTGAATATCATGATGCTGACCACTACTTCTTGAGTGTGACCAGCCAGTCAATTCCTAATCCACTGAGTTGTCTGTCAATCAATTCCATATGTGTCCAATTTAGAGACAAGGATGTCATGTGGGACATCCCACTTTGCACAAGTCCAGGCAGATGACGTTAGTTGCTCTCCCCTTGTCCACCAAAGCTCTGACGCCATTGTAAAAAGCCACCAGAATTGTCAGGCATGATTTGCCCTTGGTGAAGCTGTGTTGGTTGCCATCAACCACCCCCACACTCTTCATT